AGAAATCTGACTACAGGTTGTATCTGTTCTAGGGGCTGATTTTCTCTTTGTCGGCTCTGGAGGAAGGTTCTGGTCTCTCTGAGCTTTTGCTCCTAGATGAATTTCATGTATTTTGGTGTCTCTTCCCCCTTCTCTGCTCTGCTCAGTTGTTTAAGCTCTTTATTAACTCTAAAGAGATTGACTCATTTTGCTTTACTCCTGACTTATTAATATGTTATATAGCCCCAAATGGAATTATAGCTCTAGACATAGGTTAGGATTTATCATACATATTGGCAGTGGGTAGGGGACAAAATTCAATCCATAATAATTATTCTATTTGATTCGTATATTCTCTCTGTCTGATATATGAGGCAGGTAGACTCAAAGGATATATTTGCAATCATGTGATATTTAAGACTGAAATGAACGTAAAATAAATGCCAAAGTTTTTGAGTATTCTGTCCACTTAAATCTGGTTCTGATGCAGTACACTTGTCTGGGAGAACATCTAATATTAATCAAATGGGAAGGAGGTGGGATGGAACGTGGAGGATGGTGTTGTTTTGTTCAGGTCATTCCTATAACTCTCATTGCTCCTTTTCTATGGCTGGGCTTCTCGGACTGGGCCTTCTCCATCCTGCTAGCAATGTTGTCTGGGATTCACAATGGCCTTTCTTAGAAGGGTCATAGGTTAAATATTTACTTGTTGGCATGGTGATAGGTCTATGGTTATAGACATAGTTGTAGTCTATAGTCTATAGTTATAGTCTATAGATACACCATCCTGAATGTGCCCGATCATGTTTGATCTCAGAAGTAAGCAGGGTCAGGACTGATTAGTACTTGCATGGGAGACTATCTGGGAATATCAGGTGCCGCAGGCTTTTCTTGAGTCCTGGTGTGATGCTGTGGGTTAATGCACTGGACTGCAAAGTCAATCGGAGCCACAGGTTTGGTGGTTCAAGCTCACTAGCTGTTCCTTAGAAACCCTATACAGGGTAGCTATGGGTAAGAATCGACTTGACTATTCTTAACAACAACTACATAGTAATATGAACTAATACATACATAAAAGTTATAGCACTTTGAATTTTCTGTATGTGAGAAATGTTGTCTATACTGACACTCAAGTAATCTAACGTGTACTCATTTATGTGAGAGTGAATATTTTCTTTATTCAATTTTGTAAAATGTGGTGCCCAACCCAATAGACACTGGCAGATGTACTACATTGCCTGCCACAAATGGTTTTTATTCTTGTCTCAAAAAAGTCCCTCCTCCAGTTCCTCATATACAATTCTATGGCACCTCCCATTTTCCCTCCCCCACAGACGCCAAAATGGCTTGGCCACGTTCTTACTGGATGCATTCTTATTTAAATTTCCTAGTCCTAGAAGAGCCTATTGTTTCAACAATCTGCCAGATCTACCAATCTCAAGATGGATCATGCCCACAAGAGTTATTTCTCACACTGTATAACTGTACTCTATTATTAAGTTGCTCCAAAAGTGAGTTAATTTGTAGCATAAATTTTTCATCAAACCATTTAAATGATTTTTGAAATAATTTTCTGATTATTACAAAGACTATCAGTTTTCACCTGATGAAGCTGTGACTAGCCATATAATGCTCTGAGATCTGAGATTTGGTTTGTTGTAGGGAACAATGTCTTCTGACTTGTACTTTTCATTAATAGTCCTCTCAATAAGTTGACTATTTCTTAACAGTAGTAATACCTTTCATGCTGCTATATCTTAAGTTTCTGTTGACTTAATTACTAATTACATTGAGTTTTAGCTATTAAAATACTACCTGAGAATTTAATTTATTCCATATCTTTTTTATCAGCAAGGACATGGAAGTAATTTTTGGAATGCTGTTTAATTTGACAGAAATAATGTATTTGGTGTGGCACTGTAGGATAAACACTGAACTGCTAGCTGCAAGGTTGGTGGTTCAAACCCACTAGCCACTCCTCAGAAACTCTATACAGGGACTCTATAAGTCAGAACCAACTCCACAATGACAACAACAACAACAGAAACAATGTTTTGGCTGAATAAGAGACAGGGGATCACGGTGGTTAAAAGTGTGTCATCAGTTGCTGTCCTGCCTGGGTGTGACTCCTACTTTTGCCACATAAGCTTTAAGTAACCTCAACATCCTCATCTGTATGATTGGGATTGTTAAAGAGAAAAGGTGTTACTTTGAGAGCTACTCAAGCCATGGTGTTCAATTGTGAGAACACCATGTGAGAGCTCGATAATGACTAAGGAAGCCTCAAGAATTGATGCATCTTAATTTTGATGTTGTAGAAGAATACTGAAATTACCATGGACTGCCAGGAGAATGCACAAATCTATCTTGGAATAAGTACAGTCAGAAAACTCCTTTGAAATGAGGAAAATGAGACTTCATATAAAGTACTTTGGATGGGTTCTCAGGAGGGCCTAGACCCTTGAGAAGACTATTACACTTGGTAGAGGGTCAGCAAAAAAGAGGAAGACCCTCAACAAGGTGTAATGACACCCTGTGGCTGCAAAAAATAGGCTTAAACATAACAAAAATTGTGAGGATAGTGAGGACCGGGCAGTGTTTCATTCTGTTGTACATAGGGACTTAATGGTACTTAAAACAACCAGGATCCCTGGTGTGGCACAGTAAGGTAAGCATTGTACTGCTAGCCTACATTGCCACACCAGGACTCCACCTTAGAACATTACTTACAGGTCTTAAGAGAAGGTGGACTATTTTGGAGTATTTTAATACGTGTTTCATGAAAGTGTCCTATTTAGGAAAAGTGGGAACTTGTGAATCCATACAAAAGGCAATGATGTAGAATCTCCACTGAATTTTTTCCAACCTGTCTGGATGGGTTTGATAAAAGGGGAGTGGGGAAAGGACTCCTGTGGTTCAATAGGGAATGATTGCTATCAGGTCTGACAGTGAGTGTTGGAAAGGTAAATGTAAATGTTTGGTAACAAAAGGAGCGGAGTGGCTGATTTTGTAGTCCAGGAGCAGAGATCCGTGGAATCATCTAGAGAGAAAAACGAAGTGTGAGACTCTGTCTGGAGAGGCAGTGACACTAGGGATATAAGCAGAGAGGATGACTTGGACAGAAGGAGTGGCTGGGTACTCTGGACTCAAGGAGGGAGAGGGGCTGTATGCTGGCAGCCAGAGGTCAGGCTTGTGGGATGTACCCTTTGGTTGTTTGATGATGCATGCAGGGGATTGTGATCATTGCAATGAAACAAGATACAATAGGATGAATGTAAAGATAATGTTCACCCATGTAAACTAACACATAATTCACACACACACAAAAAGGCAAAAATGTAGTTTGTCAGGAAGCAATGACACTGACATTCAAGTGAGAATTCCCATTGGGAAAGGGACATGTTTGAAAATGGAATTTTTCCAGGTCAATAGGGGTGAACATACGTAGATACTGGAGACAATGACACTGGTGTGAAAAGCATGAGTGCTGGAATCCAGCTCTCGCGGGGTTGTGGGATACGAGAGGAGACACGGAGTCGGCAAAAATGAAAGCAATCGAGAAGCCTCTGCTTAATTGGATGATGGGGCTCTCAACAGTCTGTCTGACTGTCTGTCTTTTTTTCTCTCTCTGCCTTTCTCTGTCTGTCTGGCCCAGCTCAGCAAGTCTTTATTTTTATACTTAAAATCACGCAATACATAGTGAATTGATACTTTGATCTTTCCTTGAATTATTACACAGTTTATCACAACATTCCTACACCTGGTCATTAGACATCTTTGACAAAAATATTTCTGTGATGTTCAAACTGTCTTTCATCTCCTTTCCCAGTATGTGATAAATTGTTTCTTCTTGTTTCCACTAAAAGATTAAGTCAAACTTTACACAAATCACTTCTACTTATCAGACCTCTGATTACGTTTTCTTAGTAACATAAGTTTCTATTAATCATCAATGCTTGCACTACTTTATTATTTCTACTAACTAATTATCAACTTCTATCCTACATAATGCACTACTATTTTCATAGTAAAAAGTATTACTAACATCTACTTATTTTGTTTTTTTAAAAGTATTCATTAAATTGCTTGTTAACAGTGTTTTTATGTTCCTTTCTTTTGAAGCTGTGTGGCATAAAGCCCAACCTGGCTAATTGCTGTAGGAAATGTAGATTATCAAGTCAAAACTACCCTTCACTTAAGTTAATTATTTTCTGCCTATTTACACAGGTGCTTGTATGTAGGGGTTTGTGAATTCTGGCTGGTGACTGATTGTGGTGAGGTCTATAGGGGTAGGTTAGCTTGACTTTCATTTGTTATCTGCTTTTGTGGTCTCATAAATGCAGTTACTTTGTACTTAGGTTTTCTGTGAAGGGGAGTTGCTTATACAATTCTCTTTGAATTCAAACTACTGAAGTTGAGATAATTGTTTCTTCCCAAGGTTTGTAGAGCTCATAGTAAAAGGCTGTGAATATGGCAATATTATTTATTTTTACAAGTGAATTCAGAGTTATCCTGAAGAGAAGATAGAGGCCAGCTTCTGAGAATTATCTGCTTTGTATGATGTTTCTCCTTCTGCTGGGACTGTGTCAAACAGCAGAAGCCAAGCCGCTTCCTGCACACGAGTATTTATTAGGACTGATTTTCTCTTATGATAGGTGCATATGGCAGCTTTTCAGTCATACAAAAGACAGGGTACTCATGTTTTAGGGAACAAATCATAGAAGATTCTTTGCAGACTTGGTTGCTCCAAAAACAGCACTACATGGTGCTAAGCTCAACATCATCATATCCCAGGTCTTCTCCTTTCTCCTGGACCAATGAGAAAGTTTCCCCTTCCATTCTAGGGTTGTTAGTTTCTCTAGGAGACTGCAGAGAGTCACCTGAAATGGAAAGGAGACTTCTGGTTACAGTGGGGACTGACAGGACAGAGGCCCATCATTAAGATGATCACAAAATATCTGTGGCACCCAGCGTGCGTCTAAAAGGCTAGAGCTGTTGCATACTGAGTCAGCTCATCTGAGCAAAGCCATGTGCTGATCTGGACTGCTCTTAGGAAGATGGTCCAATTCTGCATGACAAAGATAGAAATATTTTTCTCCAGACTGGGCTAATTCCTTAATGAATGGAAGCAGGTAATCCTTTCTTTAGACCCTTAGCACCTAAATGTAGCAGACTAAATGTAACCTCAAAGTGCTTCTGAGAATCCTCCCAGGTCCCCTGTCAGATGTCAAAAGAGAGCATCTAATCAAGTCTCCCAGTTTCTTGCCCTTAGACCACATGCCTACTCTTAAGCATTATTCCTGGACACAGGGAAGGAGACTCTCTACCTGTTCATTGAAACACTGAGAGAAAATGATCTTTTAGTTTCATTCTAGTGCTGAGATTTTATTACTATCTTTTTAAAGCCACAGCACATTTTATGCATAGTAACAGATGGCAATAACAACTTTAAATGTCTGGTTATGTGTTTGGAAAAAAATAAACCAAAATCAAGAAAATAACTCACAAATTCAGTTTACCTTTTTAAAAACACTTCCTAGATTACCTTTTAAAGGTGCAAGTTCATAAAATTTATGGTCTGAACACATCTTTCTGCTTGGGGTTTGAAAATGTGAACAAGGGATCGACAACTTATTATGTAGACATATCTACATTCAAGGGCTGCTAAGAATAGACATGTTGTTGTTGTTAAGTGACATTGAGTCAGTTCTGAATCACAGCACTCCTGTATGGGCTTTCCCCTGTATGGTGAGTTTGAACTACCGACCTTGTAGTTCAAACTGTTCTTGCAGTCCAGTGAAACAGCGACACTCCAGGGTCCACAGTGCCACACTGAGACTCCAAAAATGGACACAAACAACATGCTATGTTTTTCTAGAAGAGATAGAACAGCTACAAGGATCAGGGATAAGGAAGAGCAACACTCTGGGTATTTGAAACTACTCAGGGTAAAAATGAGTATTGAAGTGTTTAAACTCACATCTCCTATGACAAAGGAGTAAAGGTATTAGAGGCAGAGCTGTCCACTCACCTGTCTGGGAATACCAAGCACCATCACCCTCCTCTTGGAAAATATGCTTCTCACTCATATCAGGGGTCGGAGGAATTTCAGGATCAGGTAACTCTTCAATGTCATCATAACCATTTCCACTGGAATTGACAGGCTTTCCTGGAGGCTCTGAAAACAGATTACAACTTAGGTAAAATTGGAAAAGATAGGGTGGTATCTAGGTGAGATCCTGGTGTGGCACTATAGGATAATCACTGGACTACTAACTACAGGGTTGGCAGTTCAAACCCACCAGTCACTCCTCTGAAACCCTATACAGGGTTGCTATGAGTTGGTACTGGCTCCATGGCACTTAACAACAATAGGCGATATGCTAAGTCCCTTCTGATGCAGACATTCATACTGCCTGATAAATATGGGCACCAGATACCAAGGCTGTCCCAAAGGCACATATTTGATCTCAATATTCCCACAAGGCATTGAAATCTTCAACATATTGGAATGTTTTTATTCTTGTTGTCAAGTGCCATTGTGTTGGTTCCAACTCACAGTGACCCTGTATAGGGCTTCCAAGGCTGTGCGTCTTTGTTGTTGTTAAGTGCTGTTGAGTCGGTTCCGACCCATAGCAACCCTGTATAGAGTTTTCAAGGAACAGCTGGTAAGCTTGAACCACAGACCTTGCAGTTCAAACGGTTTTGCAGTCTGGCGCATTAACCCACAGCTCCAACGTCTTTATGGCAGCAAAAATCTCATTTTATTCCTGTGGAGTGGCTTGTGGACTTAAACCACCAACCTTGTTGTGGTTAGCAGTCCAGTGCTTATCTTACAGAGTCACAAAGCTCCCTATTAGCATATATGAAGGTTAATATTATTTTTCTTAACTGGTTTCTCATAACATATAGAATAACAAAAGCTACTGTGCTATGAGTTTCAGGCACTAGTTTAAACACATAGTAAAGCAGATGCAATGCATAATACTTACATATCAGTGATTGATGGAGGGTGAACCTGGACCAAAACAACTTACCTCCTGAGACTGAGAGACACAGAGCTACCAAGGAGACAGCAGCCTGGGGATCTATCATTCAGAGACAGGAGGTCTCACCATCCCAACCACGGGAGATCTGGGTTTTAATCCCCTCCAGTGCTCTGATGACCTCAAGAGCCCATTTCCATAGAATCCTTCTCAATAAGCCCTATCCCAAGAGCTGTCCAGCTCTACTACCTAGAGCAAACATTCTCTTCTCTTAAAGAATAAAAACAACAACAAAAAGAATTCCCAAACAAACAAACAAGAAAAACCTGCATCTGTTGCCACAGAGTTGATTCTGGCTCATAACTCCTCAATAGGACAAAGTAGAGCTGCCCCACAGGGGGACCAAGATAGTTATCTTTCAGGAAGGAAATTGCCACATCTTTCCTGTGGAGCAGCTGGTGGGTTAGAACTGCCAACTTTTTGGTTAGCAGTACTTAACCACTGCACTACTAGGCCTCCTGAGTCTCTTGTCTTGGTCCCATGTAAATAAGAGCTCCTGGTGATTGATAAGTACAATCATGTACTCCATGGACTTTGTTGCTGTTGTTGAGTGAGGTCAAATCAATTCTAACTCATAGCAACCCCGTACAGGTTGTCCGAGGAGCAGCCGATGGAATTGAACTGCCAACCTTGTGATTTCCAATCCAGTACTTATCCAACAGCACCAGGAGTCCAGGGCTTTATTAAAATCAATTTATCTTTTGTCTCAACATACATATAAAGCACCAAATAATTCAAATATCACACTTTCTCGGGGTGAAATCATGTTTTCGCTCTCCATGGAATTTTTGAGATTATTAGATCCAAATATACTTTAAAACCATAGACTTTGAATCTTTAGCAATACAGTACACGCATGTCTCTGCCTGAATAGAAGTAGCTGTGGATACAGACAAGTGAGCATGATCTTTCTCTATCTGAGGTCCCACAGTGGGCAGACAGAGGAAAGAACTGCTGTCAGCTGGAGAGATAAAACCTTTCCCATACCAATCACAGAAAAGTGCTCTCCTCACGTAAGGTTCTTCTTCCTCATCCCCACCATCCAAGGACAGGCCTGTCTCTATTACCTGGAGCTGATTCAGGATCTCCATACTCCTCATCGTCCCCTGTGTAATATGGCAGCTTAGTCACTGAGTCATCAGATAGTTTTCCTGGGAGGGATAAAAATTTCACAAGCAAATAATAAAACCTTTCCCACAATAGGAGGCCCAGTGTTAAAGTTCAGAAGAATTCTTGAGTCTTTAGACTAGTAGAGAGAGGGCTTGGTGCCCCTGCCTCCTAGGATGAAGCTACAATGTGAGGCCATGTTAGTTGTGGGAACTGTGCTTGCTGAAGATACTCAAACTCACAGTCAGTTCATGAATCGAGGAGAGGACAGAGGACATAGGATACACACCTGAGCTGTCCAAAAGGTCTCTCTTCTTTGAGTTTATAAGGTAATCAATATCTTCATACAGAGCCTCATCGAGGGCATCTTCAAAATGCGATAA